GGGCGGGCGGGCAGGCAAATTGGCAAGCAAACGCGCCGCCCGCGCGGTGTTGCCCCGCAGCGGGAGTGTGAAATTGGCTAAGGCGGCGCAGCGGCCACTTCACGCCTCGCCTCGGCCGCACGAACGAACTGGGAAAGAAACGCACCGCCTGTGATGACACAGGAACCAAAAGAAAAGGGGGAAACAAAAGGCAAAGCAAAAAGATCCAGAATGTGAGGAAAGTGGTTCTCCGTCACCCAAACAGTCGTCTTCGCCCCGGCCTCCCTGCGCGTTCTTCCTTTGGTCCTTTTTTTTTTCTAGCCGTCACAACCGGAGGCTCTCCAAATTTTCAACTGTCACGTGGTGGAGGGGGATGCGGTGCTCCTCCAAGCGAGCGCAGAGCTGCTTCATGCCGTGGATTTTCCCCATTTGCTCAAACACCTCGCGCGCCGGCTGCGTAATTTGTCCAATGTCAACAAGGTGCTCCATTCCTCTGGCAACGAAGTCCCAATCGCCGATCTCTACCGCATGCGCCAGCAACGGCGCCACAACGTCTGCGTCGCCGAGAACGCGCGCATTTTCCAAATGCTCCGCGAGGTGCTGCAGGCTGCATCCACCGCGAAGAATGTGGCGCAGCGCGAGGTCAAACGGCACCGAATTTTTTGGGCATGCCGAGATAAGAAGAAGCACCTTTTCCCAGTCGAGCTCTTCAATCAGCGGCCACAAGGTCATGACGTCACTGCGATTGACTCGCACGTTGCGAAGCAGCTCCACCGCAACGTCCCATCGCTGCTGCACTAACGCCACATGCACGAGATTGCAACGCGTCACGGTCGCAAATGGAAAATTGTCCACCAACTTCGCCTCCCAGTCTTCTCCGGCTGCCTTTAACAACACGGCACAGGCCTCGGCCGTGGCAATCTGTTGCGTAATGCTTGAGAGGCGGGCGCCCATGAGGGCGGCGCTAATCGTTTTGGAGTCCCCCTTGTTCAAGGCCTCCCAGAAAACACTCCACTCCACTTCGTCCGGTGCCTTCTTCTGTAGAATAGCAGACAACCGTATCTTCTCATTAAATCGGCTCTTGACGTCGTCCACCCGCACACCCGTCGCATGCATGACGGCCTTCAAGAGATCAAAGGTGTCGACGGGGGGTGCGTGATACGGGTGTCGCTGATACACGTGGAGCGCCTTCACCCAGTCGCCCGTCTCCAGGGAGGTGTGAAACAGCTGCGGCAGCGGCACCGCCTTCCACACCTTCTCGTTCGACATCCTTCGTTGCAGTCGCCAGGCAACAGCCCGCATCCTCAGCGGATAGCCTACAACCAGCAACCATGACAAACCCCGGCAAGGCAAGCAAACATAAGGTGGAGGGAGACCGTGGAAAGAAAGGGCAATAGAAAAAGCGTTGGCGGTAACAGAGAAATGAACAAATAGCGCCAGGAAGAAAAGTTTTCAAAAAAAATATTTAAAAAGCGTACATGTGAGGCGGCAAACAAAGGCCAACTCCTGTCTCGGCCAAAAAGGAATCCTACGCGCCCTACCATGCGGCCACAGACGGCAAATACGCTTTATAAAGAATAAATTTATACATGACAGGGAACTCCCCCTCCCATCCCCTCTCCCCAAAATCTAAGCCGGGCGCGTGAGGTGATCATATGTTGTTGACAGAAACCCTCATTCACATAAACATTTGCCCCCCTCCTCCTCCCAACAACAATAACAACAAGAGGCAAAGAATGTGGAAAAGAACGAAGCAAGCAGACACACACACACACACACACACACCAAGGCACACGAGATAGAGG